TGTCTGGACCTCTCCAGCCCAGAAATCTTCTCTGCCTCCCCACCCAGTCCCACAAACCCACAGCAAGGGTAACAGGAGCATTGCAGGGATGAATAACCTCAACAATAGAAAATCATTTTGGGATGTGTATTTGTCATTTTTCCTTAAAACTCCAACTTGTGCCTTCCATGAAACAGTCATTAGAAAATCCACAGTGTTTAAAGTTTTTGAGGATCTGCTCCACTCTGGTGATTTTTAATGTTTACAGTCTTTAAACACAATTGTTCAATACATGTTTATACCCCTGAGACACCCTTACCTCAGTGTCCAACTTCAGCCATTCCCAAATCAGAAACAACCTCCCTTCCAGGCAAGACACTGTGGGAAAGCAGCTCAGGGAAGCCAAGGGATGCCCTCCTGTGCTGCTGCTCCCAGGGCACCTGCACGGGGAGCAGAAACTGCTCTTCACCTTCTGCGTGTCAGCCCCACGCCAAAGGGCAAAGGCACCTCCCAGCTGCTCCCAGAGAAGCAGCTCCTGAGCTCTGCAAGGGCAAACTGCACTTCCAGAAATCCCCTTTGACAGATTAACCTGCCAAGAGGGGAAACTCCAAATATAAGCCCACAAAGCCCTTTTCTCCTTGGTGAAAATATTGGTGGGGAGTGGGAGGGGACAGATTCCCCTCCGAGCTCTGAAGGGAGCAGAAGGGATGTCCCAGCCCTGCTCTCTGCCATTACTCAAGACCTGGGTCCCAGATTCCAGAGAAGAAACTCTCACATAACTTCATTTCATTCTCAGAACAAAGTATTTGGGGCCTTTCTCCACTCCAGAAACTTATCTCTCCACTTCTCTATTTACACCATGATTCTCCTCTCTGAGGCCTGGGCTATGGATCAAAATTCTACTTTGAAAAGCTAAACAGCCTCAGAAGTGATAAGAAATACTTCAAGATGGGAAGTTTCATACAATTGCCCCCTAAGGGAGTCAGAGATACCAGTGGCCTCTGCACCACACATCCAGGAAAACCAGCATGGGAGCATGGGTGGAATTATTCTTTGTAGAAACCAATAAAACACAGGAGAAAGAAGGAAAAGGCAGAAAATAAAGGTGGAAAAAGTTTCTTGACAGCCATTTCCACCCTGCCATAACTCCAGATATACCTGGGAACTGAGAGGCAGTTGACCCCAGGCTGAAAATCCTTTCATGGCCGCTATAGGACAGTAAAGTTATATAAATCTGGGACACCTCAGCCTCCCTCCTTGTCCACACAGCCAGGGAGCAAATAGCACCTGCACAATAAATAACCCAAAAGGGATTTGTTGGGGAAAGAGGAGTAACACACAGCGGCACAGTAACACAGCTCTGGAAGCCTGAAGTGTGGATCCTCCATGCTCAGCTCCCCTCTATGAGAAAGTGGAACAGCTATAAAGTGAGAAAATGCACTTTATCATTAAGGGAAGGGCTCTAACAACTCAGTTTACAGCTGGAAAAATAAGCCCTTCCATTTACAAACTCACAAAGCAAAGGAAAGAGCAGGTCCTGTGCCCCACTTTGCCACTAAAGTTCCACATCTGACTTCCCCGTGGTGAGGCGATGCTTCCCCGCCTCTCCCTCCCCTTCACACGCCTCATTTCGTGTCTTCTGGGAAGCCCGGCCCAGCCCTGGCTCCAGCCTTTACTGTAAATCCTCCCCTTCCCTGCCACGCTCTGCTCTCGGGGGGCAGAGGGTCCCGGTGCCCCCAGCCCTTGATTTGGGACAGCAGCATCCCTGGCAAAATCAGCCCCCCGAGGGTGCAAATGAGGGCTCTGCCTCTGGCTGGGCAGGGAGGGAGAGAACAATTTGCATTACAAAATTGATTTTGGGGGTTCAGGAGTCTAACCTCCTCAAGCCCTGATGCAAAACTGCGGTGGGATTTCAGGAAGGGGAAAGAGTTTCTGTTTCCTGAGCTCTAAAGCTGTGTCATTCAGCCTCTCCTGAGAGTGCTGCTGGCTTAGGGTGCACTGCTGCCCCCAAAGCCCAACAAGAGCAGCGTGTCCCATCCAGAAGCCAAGTTTGGAGGCAGCACCCCAAAGCCGAGCCTTCCGGGGGGGCGGAGGGGGGGTTTAGTACCGTCTGCTAAAATGGCAGCTGCTCTGACGCCGAGCTACGTCTTGCGAAGTCAGCCCTGCCCTCATCATCATCATCATCCTCCTCATCATCATCTGACTGCCGAGAACTGCTGCGGCTCCCGGGGCTCTGCGGGACGGGGCGGGGGAGGCGCAGAACAGGGGGGGTTCGGCTGTCCCTGCGCACCCCAGCCCCCAGTTTGTCACTCTTGGGGACAGCCCGGCCCCGCGGGGCAGCCACAGGCCAGGGGGTCCCTGTGCCCCCCTTCTCTCACAGCCACTCCAAAACAAGAACTGGGAAATGCAGGGGTGGCACCGCCCCGACCCCCGGCTGCTGTCCCCTGCTTGGTGTCCCCCTGCCTCGGGATGAGGATGTTCCTGGGGCAAAGGGACCGAGGAGATCAGACAGACAAGGAGTGGAGGTGGGGGGAGAATGAGGGAGTTTTGGGATCTTCAGGGAAGGGGATTCTAGCCCACTTCCAGCCCAGGATTTGCCAAAGGGGAAGGGAGCACCCCGGTCCCAAAGTCACCAAGGCCACCTTTGGCAGTGACCTTAAGTTCCATCCCTCCTGCCCGGCCAAGCCCCAGGACTCTCAGGGGGAGGAATTTCTGTCTCTGACAGCTCGAGGTGCCCCCGCTGCCCCCCGACTCCCCGAGAGCTGCCCGGGACAGCGGTGACCCTGCGGGCAAAGGGATGCCGGCTCCTCATGGGGACCGAGCGGGGGACAAGCGGCGCTGCCAGCCCAGACCCCTCCCCGACGGGACCCCCGGGACATGGCGAGCCCCGAGCGCGGCCAGCCGGCCCGGGGGAGCCCGGACAGCTCGGTGACAGCACCCGGGACAGAGCCGGACCCGCTGCTCCGGACCCCAGCTCCAGCGGGACACACGGGACAGCTCCCGTCCGCTTTCTGGGAAGGGAAAATACCAACTTTCCCGAGTTTTCCTACTCTTTGTGTGGCGGGGATTCCAGAGACCCATAACATCATTTGGAGGAAAAAAACCCCAAGAATCACAAAAAGCAAATAAAAAAGGAAAACAAGGGGGAAAAAAGAAAGAGAGAGGGGGGGAAAAAAAGGAAAACCAAGTTCTCCTTGTTCTTCCCGAAGCAGGTGAAGGAGGGGAGAGAAGGGGGGAGGGCAGACAGGTTTGAAAGAGCCGAAGGGGACAAGTTGTGCCCGGGTTTCCCGGCGGTAGCAGCCGGCGCTGGTTTGTGCTTTGCAACACGCGCCTGCTCCAATCTGCGCCGCTCAGGAACAATAAACAGGATCATACAAAGAAGTGGAAAGGCGGCATCTTTGCTTCTGGTTTCTATGACAGCATCAGAGAGAGACAAACCAACTATAAACTCTAATTCCTAGATTCCTCTCCCCCCACCCCACCCCCTCGCCGCAAACTCCCTTTTGTCTGCCATTAATTAAAGTGGCCATATGGAAAAGGCTGATAATAACAGCAGATGAGCCAACGAGAGAGAGGGAAAGGGGAAGAAAGAAAAAAAGAATAACTAAAAGTAGCGGCAGGGCGATGGCGAGGGTTTAGCCGGGGCTTTTCGCATTTGTTTTCAGCGGCTGCTCGAAGCCAGGGGGCTCAACAATAGCGGGAGGAGAGCGGCTGCCCGGCCGGATCGAGGGGGGCAACATGCCCCCTTTGCCCTGCCCAGCCCCGGGGAGCCTGGCATGCCCCAAGGCTCCTGCTCCGACAGCTCTGATCCCCACTACCTGCCCCTTTGTGTGGGATCAGCCTCCGAAGATGCCGACCCCCCGTTGGGGCCGCCTCCCCCAGGAGGGTCCGTCCTACCCGGACCCCAAACTCAAACTCAGCCCGAGTGGCCGGGGTGGATGGCAGCGCAAGCACAACCTCGGGCAGCACTCCCCTGCCCCTCGCTCCCTCTGCAAATAACCCACGGAACAAGCACCACAACAAACTTTGCTAAAATTGATAAAGAGATTAGCCAAGCAAAGCCTCTTCCGAGCAAGCTAAAAATAAGAACACGCAGATTTCTGTCTTGGTCAACGTATAGAGAGAAATCCACAAACATGGCACACTTCCCTTGTGCCTCGCTGCTATAAATAGAGAGCTCTAAAGTAGGCAATAATCGGAAAGAAGGGGGGGGGGAAAGGGAAAGAAAAAAAAAGGAGAAGAAGAAAAGTGTGGCGGTGGCAGGAGGGAGCAGCCGCCAGCCCTCCCTCCGCACCCGCGTCCCCGGGCGAGGGGCCCGCGGAGCTGCCCAGGAGTGCGGAGCGCGGACTCGGGATGGAGTTCTGGCAGGAAGGGGCCTGGGGTGAGGGGAGCGCGGCGAGGGACGCGCGGAACCCCGGTCCCGCCCGGATCAGCACCTCCGAGAGCTCCGCGGCCGCGGGGCCGCCGCCGCCGGCGCAAACTCCTCCCGGCGCCCGGGAGCGTCTTCTGCTAACACCTCCCTCCGGATAAACATCCACCGATCCCGCGGTTCACCAACCCGGCAAGCATCCTCTTCCAGAAATATTCAGAAAGTTTCCCGGTTGAATGCGACGTTGTGCCTTTTTTTTTTTTTTTCAATAAATCTCCTCCTTTCTCATCTTATCCAACCTCTTTCCAGTCAGAAGCATAACATGTCCACTAGCGTCTCGCAGCCAGCGAGAGAGCGAGCGAGCAAAGATGGACCTAGGAGCATGATGATCATCATAAAAATCCCCTCGGTTCTCCAGTGCAATTTTCAAAACAACAACCCAGCCTTCGTGCTGTAAAGGCGAAACGCCTGCGTCTGTTTACATCAACTGTGTGCTCCGAGAGCCTTTCCCCTCTGTCTCAATCCAAGGGAGGGGAGGGGAGGGAGGAAAAAAAAAAAAAAAAGAAGAGGAAAAAAAAAAAAGAAAGAAAAAAAAGAAAAAAAAGCCAGCATTATCTGCCTTTGTCAGCGAAAGAACATAATATTGACTTACCTTTCCCCACAGCTATTGTCTGCCCCTTTACAAAATGACATCACGGAAACCAATCATGAAATTTGCATGGGGGAGGTTGTGGGGGGAGAGTTCTTGGAGGGCAGCCCACTTCCCTACACCAGTAACACGCGTGTAAGACGGGTTGTTGGTTTCAATTAAATATCTGATACTCCTTAGTGTGTGAACTCTTAAGCCTGCTAAAGGCAATGTCTCATTTACTTAATGACCGCTCTCATTAATGGAAATGGCACAGAGGGGGCTTGCTGCGCCTTCCCTTTGTAAATACACTACCCATGAACCCTTGGGGTTGCAATATATCTGTTTACTCTCTGAGGTGAAATAAATTTACAGTATAGCATCAAAGAGAGCGAGCGAGAGAGATGGAGCGGCTGCCTTGAGTGCACCGAGAGTTGGGGCTCTCCCGGCCCCGCCGGCCCCTCTCTCCTGGCGCTCCCCCCTCCCCGAGACCCAGCAGAAGGTGAATGATTTTACCCGAGCTGATTCATAATTAATATGCACGAGGCTCGGGGCTCCTCTGACAGCAGCAACACAAAAGGACGGCGAGCGCGACGAGCGCCGTTCCGTGTCCCCCCCGCGCATCCCGGCGCGTGGTACGGCCCAATAATTCCTAATAGCAGCAAGCAGCGAGTGACAGATGCCCTGGGTTAGCACAGCTCCAGCGAAAGTACTTTACAATATTTATTGGTGGTTAGGAAGATGACCTATCACCATAAAGAACAGACCGGGAAATTTATCGCCTCTATGAACCTGGAAGTATTGCATATTAGCTGATATACATATTCAAAAGGCGGTGGTTAAAAGGTGTATAAATATTTTAATTTTTTTTTGCCTCCTCTTAAAAGCAAAAAAAAAAAAAAAAAAAAAAAAAGAAAAGAAAAGAAAAATAAAAATGGAAAAAAAAAACCAAAAGAAAGACACAATATGTTCCTGGTGGAAAACTTCTCACCCCGGGGAAGGTGGTTTACATTTTACATTATAGATGCTGCGATGGGAAGAACAGCATAAGGGAAAGTCCTAAAAGAAAACGGTGACTAAAACGTTCAGGGATTGTTTTAAGTAATAAAAATGCACGATTTTGCATTATGCATCTTTTCCTCCCAGAAAGAGCCATACTTTCCAAGAGTCAGCATCTTGAAAATGTTTGTTTCGGGGCGGTCCGGCCACCCCCGGGAGGAGAAAGTCCCGAACTGAGGGAGGGAGGGAGGGAGGGAGGCTCTGGGGAGAGCCCCCGGCACGGAGCGGCAGGAAGGGCATTAGCACATCCCATCCCTGCTCTGCCAGACGGGAACATTAGCACTTGCATCGCAACTTTTCGGAAATAGCGAGGGAAAACACAGCCAGGCTGCAGCCCCACGGGCTGGGAGAGTAAAGGGGGAGCAACGCTTTTCTACCCAGCGCTTTTCCTGCACCCTCGTGCCATCCCCAGCATCGCCGAGACAATTAAGACTACCCTGTCATCTTAATGAAGATTTCCAAAAAGATGCGGGAGCTCACAAATGGACAGAAACCCCAGGAGTCCTCAGAGAGCTGAGGCAGAGCCTGGCAGGGAAAGCTGAATCCTGCTGAGGATGCACTCTCCTGTGGGAAACTCCAGCTCCAGGGCTGCAGAGCCCCCGGGCTCCTCTCCTGCTCACCCCCATCCTGAATGTGTTCTGTGCAGGCAGGAGTGGGAAAAACCTCTCAGACTGCCCAAAACCTGGCAAATTTAGCTTGGGTAGACACTGCCGGCAGCCCCGTGTCACTCAGGCCATTGCAGGGCAGACGACAGGAAGGAAGGATTCGGTTTCCCCATCTCAGGAATTTTATTGATGACAGGGTGGCAGAAATACTAATTTTAAACTGTTGAGGCCGCTTTGGAGGTTGTTAGGATGCCCATTTCCTTGCCTTGCCAGCCTGGTGTGCTCCTAAACCATTAACATAAAGGAGATATTCAGCAGAGAGTACTCCTGAAAAGCTGTTTTCTATCTCCTTTGGACACACCACGAAGACAGGGATATTTTACATCCTAAACCTTTGGCATTCAGAAATTCTATTAAACTCTTATCTGCAGGCAGCAGGCCTGGTGCTACACTGCATCTCCATTGTTCGGCACCCGCGATAGAATCAAAGGGAGGGCTGGGTGGACTCGGCTCCCCTCCGCTCACAATGCTGCCTGCTCCTCTCCACCGCTGCTTCATTTAGAGCCCTAATGCTAAAACTTGAGAAACAAAAGCACAATAGATTCGGCCGGGAGGCAGCAGGGAAGTGTGTTTACTTGCGTGTGCTCCCCCATAAATCGGAGCACACGCTGCCTGCATGGATATGAGCACACACACATGTGCCTCCCCGAGCGTTAAGAGAGGGATTTTATTACTGCTGCTGTTGCATTTATTAACACGCGACGCACCTACGAGCCCTAAGGCAGCTGACAGCTCTGATAGCATCCGGCTGAGCTCCGGGCTGCCGGAGGGTGTTTGGCTTTTCTTTGTTCCCAAACTCGCCAGACTTTCCCTCTGCTCTCCTCCCAAAACGCTGCAGAGGAGCGGCGCCTCTCCCGGAGTTTCTCGCTGCTACCAACTTTAGCAGCGGCGGGAATTCCCATCTCGCAGCCCCCAAATCCCTTCCTACCCCCAGGAAATCTCCGGTTTGGGCCAAAAGCCCCACAGCCCACGCTGGAGGAACCCGCGGGGGAAGGAGAAGGCCACGCGTGGGCGGCAGGCGGCGGCGGGTCAGCACCACGGACAGCTCCGCCCGCTCCCTCCCGCCCGTTTCCACCTTTTAAAGTATTTTTTAGCCATTTTTTTAAAATGGTGTTTCTCCCCCATGCACTCCCTAAACCTCTCCAGAGTCACTCCACAGCTGTTTTCAGGGAGGTGATAATCATCGCGCATTTCCAGGTCTCAAAGAGCCGGCGCTTCCCTAAAGGGAGCCGTGCAGCAAAGAGGTCTAAAATTGATGTTCGTGTATTTTCATCTTCAGGGGGTTTAGACGGGGGCTCCGAGAGTCCCTGCCTGCAGGGTGCCTGCAGAGCCGAACCCAGAGAGGATTTTTAAAAGCAGATTCCCTTCACAGCAGCCCCTCCCCTGCTCTCCATGCCATTTTTTTCCCCCTCGTGTTTTCAGATCAAGCCCTTCAAGTTCGAAATTATTTAAAATAAAACTCAATTTGCTTGTGTAAACACAGCCATAAACCCATTGCACTGTGTTCCATTGGCTTCTTTGAGTCTGTTTCAAAGAAAATTAGATCTCAAACTTTACGCATTTGTAATTGGCACCAACTTCTCCGGTTACCAGCTGGGGGTGAAAGATTTTTTTTTCCTTGTTTCTTTCTGAAAGCTTCTATGCAGATGGGCTGGCTGCCTTAATGCCTCAGACTACAATTAGTGCTGTTGTATGCCGAATAGAAATGGCCAGCATTAATATTGTATATGGAACAGCTGAAGGGTTGCGAAGAAACCTGCCCACTACAGGCCCCTGGCAGATGGAACAACATGCACAGGCACAAAAAAACTTTTAATAACCCTTTGCTCGCTCTCCAGCGCTCCCCTTCGCTCCGATTTGGGCGGGTCCTTCCCGAAGAGGCAATGCCTTTGTCTAAGCCAAATCTAGAGCTCTTTTCTCCCTGAAGAACAATAATTGGAGCAATCACCATCTTTTGCAAAAGGCACCTCGCATTATCCCTAAACTTCCTCCTTTGTGCCTCGGGTAATGCAGGCGCTGAAACACACACCCAGCTGAACGGGCACGAACTAACTTTTTATTTAATAACATCGCCCTCATCCCTTTATTATCCAGCAATGCGCAAGAGGAATGGGGAAAAGCGCATAAAGCCAAACCAACCCAACCACCACCCCCTCGCCCAGCAGAACTGCCACCAGAAGCTGCAGAAAACAGGATTTTCGCCTCGTCCCCCTCCCCTGCGCTCCTCTTGCTTTGCAATGAGGTGAAGCCCGCGGCAGAGGGGACAAAGCCCCGGCGGTGCCCCGGAGCAGCAGCACCGGGGGCCGCGCACCCCCCGCACCTGGAGCCCCCTCGCAGCTGAGCCCGGAGCGCTGCGAGCAGGGGCGGGGGTGACACCGGCACCCCAATCGGGAAAGGCAAACCCGGGAGAGCTGAACCCGAAATGTACTCGGGAACCTCTTTCTACCGCCGAACGGGGGGGAAATACTATCAAACAAGGAAAATGCTATAAAGCAAACTATCCAGCAGGATAATTTGCGGGTCCGTATTCCTCCACCCTCGGCCACCGAGCCCCTTTGCCAAGGCGTGACTCCGGAAGAATTGCGAAACTCAAGAGTTTTAGAGGAGAAACGAGGGAGACACACTAAGGACTACCCTCCCTACACTCCCACCGCGCCCCCCGCATCCGCCGGCGAACGGCTACGAACCGAGGAAAGTCCCGCAGAGCTTCATCCTTGCCGGGTGGCGGTGGCTGCCGGGCCCGGGGTGGCGGGGGCAGCGGGCGCGGAGCCGCCCGGGTTTACTCCATCATCCCTGGCAAAAGTTCCCGTCCGGAGCAAAAACTTATGGGCGGCGGCGGCCAATGGGGCCGCGCCGCAAAATCCTCGCAGCGCACTCGGCGGCCAATCCGCTCCCCCCGGGCCGGGGATGCGCGCCCCCCTCCCGGTCCCTCCCGACCCCTCCCGGCTCTCCCGGCCCTTCCCGGCCCCTCCCGGCTCTCCCGGGCTGGCGGCGGGGGAGCAGGGCAAGGGGACTCCGCGCATCCCTCCTGCCCGTAATTAGGGGACAGCAGTGACAGCGGGCACAGCCCAGCGCTGGGGGGTGGTGGGGCAGGCGCACAACCCCGGGAGAAGCATCCCCAGGGAACCCAGCCGTGGAATGGTTTGGGTTGGAAGGGAGATGAAAGATAATCTCATTCCAACCCCGTGCCACGGGCAGGGACACCTTCCATAGACCAGGTTGCTCCAAGCACCATCCAACCTTGGACACTTCTAGGGGTCCAGAGACAGCCAACAGCTTCTCTGGGCACCCTGTGCACACCTGAGCCCAAAACTGCACAGGGACAGAGGTCACAGCTCTGGGGGCAACCCACAGGGCTCTGCACAGCCAACTGCCA